CCGCGATGTCCCTCCTGCAGTGTCCCCTGTAATGCTGGCATGTGTCTTCTAGGTTCCGTCCCCTGCGACGTCGGGACGTACGGGGGACAACGGCGGGAAATTTGAAAATGACAAAAAGTGACATTCACTAAAATCACATAGTATAACATTCCTGTATCAAACCATTTCACATACATTTTGTCCCGAGTGCTTTGTGCTGCGCCCTGCCTGCCTGGAAACTGAGAAATGTCCATGGCGTCCCTTCAGGTCAAAATCCGTTTTAGACCAGCTAGAGAACAGCGATAGTAAATTAGAACTACTTGCAGAATTGAGTGATGATTCGTGGGGAAATTCGTCATCAGACACTGAAAACGATTTTGCGACAGTGATGTGTGAACTTGGCGCTATATTTCAAATTTCAGTGTTTTTGGTTTGATTATATTATTGAATTAAATTTATTATTATAGTATTATTTTTTATGATTAATAAATTATAATTTATGATTTCGTGTTTCAAATTGTAACATACCCAGGATGTTTACTAGACTCTTGTTCTGACAGATTTCAGTGAGTTATTCCTAAAAATTACAGGCCAACAATAAAGAAAATACATATTTCCATGCAATAAAATGTACCGCTTTGAGCACAGAAATATGGACATAATCAGACCGCTAGGGAGGTTAAACACTACTACCAGCGTTTTTTTTTATCCAGTGTTTTTTTGAAATATTTACTTCTAAAATTATGTGTTAAAAATTTGTAAAAGAAAAAAAACAAACCCCCAAAAAACTGAAAACAATTACATACACCGATCATCCAGAACATAACCACACACTGTAACCTGTCGAGGCACGGACTCCACAAGACCTCTGAAGATATGCTGTGGCATCTGGCACCAAACTGTCAGCAGCAGATCCTCTGATTCCGGGCAAGTTGCGCTTAAACACTAGTGTACACGGAGCCTTGATGTGTTTTACAATAAACTGCAGACTTGCTGCTCTCGAAATGGTTAAATCTTGAAATCAACAAAGAATTTGCTCATCTGTGTATGGTTTACTGAGCAATAGCAGTGTACATTGGATCACAAAGCATGAAAGGCACAGTGACAAGTTCCAAGAATAAATGCACAGTTTTTATGTTGTAATTTACATATCTTCTACACTATTCTGTATCTCGGGAACATATCCAGTGGGAAGGGGGGAAATTCTGATTATCTGAGATTACTTTGTAAGGGTCACATAACGATGATAAATTATTTTTACATATTAAAGTCTTCTTAATCAGCCAATAAGCCATTAAAAAATGACATAAAAGGAAACTCATAATATAAAAGAAAACCCATAAACAAAGGTATAAGATCGAACATCCTTTTCTTATCCACCTGCTTCTAACCATCATCCCACACACCTTGGGCAATGGTTACAATGATGAGCCTAAATTTATGGACATCCTCAACATCGTTTTTCCTACATTGTCTAGACAACTAAAAGAAGAAAGAACTCGAAACACAACAAGGTTTAGGTCATAGTTCACTTGAAGTTCACATTTATTCATGCTAAGATACCTTCCTTCTGACTCCATTTTGTCACGTTACTAACTCGGTTCATGTTCTGTATCATCTTAACAAAGGAAAGGTGGGAGAAAACCTGTCGTTTCTGTAATCGATCATAAAATGTTATGTAGGGAGGTGAGGGGAGGAGCAGAGGAGTTGGGCCAGCACAGACAGTAATTTAGATGTTTCCAGAAGAAGATGGGGCTGTGCTAGGGAATTTAAGTTTTCCTGCAGTTTTCCTCCTGCCTTCAAGTTTGAAGGAACATTCCAAGTGTATAACATTTTTTTTCTAAGTGGGTGACAGGATCCTTTTAATGATGTAGCTACTTATAAACCAGCATATAGGCTCGTTCTTGCCTAAAATGCAGAGCTGAATCAACTCTTTTTTGTTTTTTCTTTTAGGCAAAATATAAAGTAAAGAATTGTTATATAGCAGATGCCATGTTATGGATTGAGACCACGGGAGATGAAACTTTGTTTAAGAAGCTAAAAGCCCAGGAAAAATCCCAAGAAAAAGTTCGTAATCGAGTCATACAGACCTTTTTCACTGAATGTAAGTGACTGCATCCAAATGAAATATATAGTGTACATGGTTTGTGGGTGATCCACTTGAAGACCTCAATACGAACATAAACATTATGGTTTTCAAGTGGTTTACCAGGGTTATGGCTGAAGAAATCAGTCATAACCCTGTATAGTTTTTTTCAGGAAAGGCTGGCTTTCTTCTGAAAGCTCTTGCGGTGCTGGATCGCTTTCTGTTGTGGTGGGAGGGGATGAGTTCTGCCCCCACCCCCGTGCTGCTTGCTGGTGTTTTCTCGGGCTTTACTGTTAACGCCGGTTGGCCCGAGAAACGATCCAATGGTGCGGCCTGTTCCAGATAGAGGCGATGAAAGACTTCATGGTCTTTGATCGCCTCTATCATGGAGGACCAGAGAGCTACATCATATCACTGAGAAATAATGGTGGAAACCTCCTGCGCTTCAGCCTAAGAAACCTTTGTCTAGTCTAAATAACGGAAGCTGCTAGCATCCAATCATATACCCATTATGATACAAGCTATAAAAATACGGAAGTGATGCAACGCTAATCTGATGATGATATTGATATTAATTCTATATAAATGAACAAGTGTATAAAGGTGACGCAATGTGCAACAAAACCATAAACAGTGACCTGATCCTCCAGGGATCTATAATAAGTGAACTGATCCTACATGGATCCAAAGTGTACACAGTGAATGTTGAACCACTCAAAAGAAGGTAATTTCAGATTTACCAATACTGATCGTATGGTATAATTGTGTATACAACCAAAGTTAGAATCCAAAGTGATGGTGTAAACAAATCAAGCAAACAAATATATAAACTTAGCCCAAATCATACTAAATAGTGATACGTCCAAAATTAAACTCAAAACGCATGAAAAGTGCAAAACGTGCATAAACATGTAAAGATAAAATATCCAAATCCCAAAGTGTTTTCATATACAATCAATATATACGTAAATCAAACACAATCAATACTATGAACAAATGTGAAACTATATTATGCAAAACGCATGACTCCAAATAAAGTGGAAAACCAGTGAGAAAAGTCCAAATTGTGGCACTACACCACTGTACTCATGCACGTTGCTGGTGTACGTGAGTAATCACATAAGGGTATCCGTCAAAAGCCCGATTGGCCGCTCACCTTCTTGCTTCGACCCGCAAGAGGTCAAAACACTTTTGGATCACTACCACAGATCTTCCATGCACATGATTCCTCTACTCCTGGATATCTCTCCCCTCAGCAATCTCACTCCCAGGGATGTACATATAAGTAGCAGAATCCTCGCCAGGTAACACATATGGTAAGAGCCAATATCTCCTCTGTTGCCACTTCCACCAATGTCACAGGTGCTCCCTAAATGGTGTTGTGTAATCACCTCAGGAGTCACTTGCTTGTTGCCAACATCCCGTAATTGTGCGTAGGTAGATGATCCCCAAAAAGAATATATGGGACTTTTAAGATTCTCTCTCCCTCTCCCTCCCTCCTCGTGCAATAAGTCCACCCGTGACATTTCCTGGCTACTAAATATTCCACGGCCAACTGTTAGTGGTATTATAACAAAGTGGAAGCAACTGAGAACAGCAACTCAGCCACGAAGCGGTAGGCCACATTAAATGACAGAGCAGGGTCAGCGCATGCTGAAGTGCGCAGAAGCCGCCAACTGCCTGCAGAGTCAATAGCTAAAGACCTTCAAACTTGGTGTGGCCTTCAAATTAGGACAACAACAGTGCGTAGAGAGCGTCAAGGAATGTGTTTTCATGGCCGAGCAGCTGCATCCAACCCTTAGATCACCAAATGCAATGCAAAGCGTCGGATGCCGTGGTGTGAAGCACGCCTCCACTGGACTCTAGAGCAGTGGAGACGTGTTCTCTGGAGTGACCAATCACGCTTCTCTGTCTGGCAAGCCTATGGACATGTCTGGATTTGAGAACGGTACTTGCCTGACTGCATTGTGCTAAGTGTAAAGTTTGGTGGAGGGGGGCTTACGGTGTGGGATTGTTTTTTCAAGGGTTGGGCTTGGCCCCTTAGTTCCACTGAAGGGAACTCTTCACCTTACCAAGACATTTTGGCCAATTTCATGCTTCCAACTTTGTGGTAACAGTTTGGGGATGGCCCCTTCCTGTTCCAACACCAGTGCACAAAGCAAGGTCCATAAAGACATGGATGAATGAGTTTGGGGTGGAGGAACTTGACTGGCCTGCACAGAGTCCTGACCTCAACCCGATAGAACACCTTCAGGATGAATTGGAGCGGAGACTGTGAGCCAGACCTTCTTGTCTGACATCAGTACCTGACCTCACAAATGTGCTTCTGGAAGAATGGTCAAACCTTCCCATAGACACCCTCCTAAACCTTGTGGACAGCCTTTCCAGAAGAGTTGAAGCTGTTATAGCTGCAAAGGGCGGGGCCAACTCAATATTGAACCCTACGGACTAAGACTGGGATGCCATTAAAGTTCATGTGTGTGTAAAGGCAGGCGTACCAGAACTTTTGGAAATATAGTGTATGTGTAACATTCATGCTCTGTTTAAGCAGGCCTCTACTCTTGTGCACATCGCTGGATCGAGATCATGCTCAGGTAAGTGGTTGATGGGGGGGGGGGGGGGGGGGGGGTTGCATGCGAAAGGGTTTTTTTTTTTACCTTCTTGTACAAAACGTTTTCAGTATGGTTAGCGTGATATGCTTCTTGGCCGTTCCATTATGGCTGATTTTGCACTGCCAATTCTGAAAACTCTCTCTCCTTTATTGTCGGTGTTCAGATTTAGGTAGCAGGTTTACAAAATGGTTTTGATTAATTTATTTGAAAAAAAAATATTTAATGGAGTGATGAACAAACATTTTTTTTTTTTTCCTCTAATAGATGCCTTCTTTTTTATTAAAATGGCAGAAGACCACAGAAAATTGTCTGAAGAGGTTAAATTGCAAGTGTGTGACTTGTGTGAAATGGTAAGGCATTGCCTTTTTCTTTACTATCCACTCAAACTTCATCCAACTTTGTGGCTAGCGGAGTGAAATAAAAGAAAAAAAAAATGTATTCTTTGCATCTCTGCCGGACATGCAAATGTTCCAACTTTTGTCTGTTTAAAATGCTTACAGTAAAGAAAAATACCTATTTAATCCCGCTAGTAATCCAGTGCGCTTGTAATGTCTGCATGATACTAAGATCCGCTGTCCTTTTATTGCTTGTTTACATTATTTTCATTGACTCAATGTCTCCTCTTTGTACCTTCTACCAGGAGTCAGAACAGCATAGGGCTATTGGCAAAGAGGAATTTGAAAAAGAACACTATGATATGGCAGAATACGCATACACTACAGCTATATATTTCAGGTAACCGATCTGTATTAGTGTTTTTTTTTTTATTGCTGAAAGGAAACGGGTCACAAACCTGGGCAATTCAAACTAAGCACATAATGCATAGTGAAAAATTTAAACTGATGCATAGGCTATGGATACCGTCACTGAAAACTACATGGCAAAACAATTAGAGGATACAAAGATCATCTTGAGATTTAGTTTATAGATATGAAACGTAGTCACATCTTTTCTCAAACCTTACTTTTACTCAGAACTCCAACCTCACCTGTTTGTATTCTATCTGCCTCCCCTTCCCATCCCCACTGTGTGCCTCCTGAATTTTTTTTTTTTTAATTTTTTTTTTTAAGGGCATTGCAGTAAGGTACATGCTCCCTGGGCTTCAAGCAGTGTTGCTGCTGTGTCCTGTGTGGTGCATACAGCTTCCATAGAGCTAATTGTATCTGAATTAGAAAGAATTGCTGTTGCACCTACCTACTTTACACACTGAATCCTAGGAAAATCTGCTAACCTGTATACTGTAACTTGTGTTGCTCTGTGTGAATGCAGTTTTGTTTCTCAGTGGTTACAACTGACTTGTTGTGTTTCCTTTTGTATTAGGAAAAAATATGTGCTGATGTTTTTTTTTTTTTTTTTTTTTTTTTTTAACATGGGTTTCCCCCCTCTGCCCTGCCCCTACCTCATGCCTGTCCTCATTTCCGATTCCCTGAGAAAAACTGGTATATACTTTGAATTTATGGCTGCAGCTTGATCCAGTTTAGAGGTGGTCCCTTATCCCATTTCAAGTAATGCGGAGTATGTTATTGCTGGGTGTTCCGGCCAAGTCACCTGTACCTCACGTTATATGTAACTGATGCTGTATTTCTTGATGGTTCGGGGCCTTTGATGAAGTCACGTCATGTATGTATGTATGTTTCCATTGTCTTTTGCTGTTCTGTGGGCGCTGGATACTTTAAAGAATTTGCAAAAAAAAAAAACGTGTGCTGAATTATCCACTTATACACAAGTTGGTATTCTAGAAGAGAAGCTGAAACTATTGTCTGTGCAATGTAATCTGGACTGCACAGACCTGTAGCTTGTAGCTTCTTCTAGTGTACTGTCGGCTTCTATTCATTTAGGAAAAGCTGTGTACTAGTTTAGACAGGCATGATGTCTGCTTAACGGCAATCACAGTTGAGTGGATGTTACTGCAGTGATGTGCTCGTTCCACCTTCCTCCTCCCACAGGCTAGTATGGAGCAAAATGAAAAGACCAGGAATGAGTGACTTTTTTTTTTTTTCACTCTCTCTCATTTTTACCCAGCCTTGAACTTTTAGGGCTCGTTCACACTAGGCTGTTTTGCCAACGCTTGCCAAACGCCCCTATAGCTTTTGGCAAGCGTTGGTCCGGCGTTTGCGGAGCGTTATTAACGCTCGGCAAACGCTCCGCAAACGCCGCATGCGCGGTTTAGCGACGGTTGCTAGGCGTTTGCCGAGCATTAATAACGCCCCACAAACGCCTATAATGCAGTTTGAGTGGTGTTACCGCTCGGCAAACGCCCCGCAACCGCGTCGCAACCGCACCGCAAACGCCGGCCGGGCGTTTGTGGAGCGGCACCATAGACGAGAATAGGAGGCTTCAAAGCCTCCTGACTCGTCCAGAGGCGTCTGTTTTGCCGCGACGCAGCGCGACGCGACGCAAACGCTCCCGTTAGAACAGCACCATGTGCTGTAATGTGCAGAATTGGCAGAGGCGTTTGGGAAGCGGTACAAACGCTTACCAAACGCCTCTCTGCCGCCTGCACACAAGGCTAGTGTGAACGTAGCCTTAGGCATGCTATGTACAACCAAAAATGCTTCACCAAAACTACTCATAGAATACGTAGGAAACCCTGTCTGTTTTCCCATACCCCCTTTACTGGAAATTCCTGGTTGTCAAAATGACAGTCAGGACTTCCTCAATTCTGACACTCACCCCCCCTCCCCCGGTGCCCAATATGTGTCCCGCCAGCCCTCTGTGTGTGGCCTGCGAGCTGTTGGGCTCCCTTAAGGCAGCAGAGTGGAAGTCACTAGTGCTGGTGGCTTTTATTGCATTCAATGATGGGAGTGGCTATTGCGTCTACTTACACCAGTGTTGGGGGTTATTATTGTGGACTCTGACACCAATGCTGGGAGATATTTTTCTGTGCACTGACACCAATGTTGGGGGCGGTTATTGTGTCCACTGACACTAATGTTGGGGGTTGTTTTAGCATCCACCAACACCGATGTTAAGGGTTATTATTGCACTCACAGACACCAGTGATGTGGACTATTCTTGCACTCACTGACACCAGTGATGGGGTGGTTTTCTTGCACTCACTGGCACCAGTGAATGGGGATGGTTATTGCACTCACTGACAACAGTGAATGGGGGTGGTATTATTGCACTCACTGACACCAATAAATGGGGGTGGTTATTAATGCACTCACTGACACCAGTGAATGGGGGTGGTATTATTGCACTCACTGAACCCAGTGAATGGGGGTGGTATTATTGCACTCCCTGACACCAGTGAATGGAGGTGGTTATTATCGCACTCACTGACACCAGTAAATGGGGGTGGTTATTAATGCACTCACTGACACCAGTGATGGGGGTGGTTTTTGCACTCACTGACACCAGTGAGGGGGCTTATTGCAATCACTGACACACCAGTGGGGGGGTTATTGCACTCACTGACACCAGTTAATGGGGGGTGGTTGTTAGAGCCCAACCTCTGTAGCTGTAGGATAAAGGTGCCAGATCGATATCAGGGATGGATGGGAGCAGTAACACTGAGGCAGCTTTTCCTAGAGTGGAAACAAGGCTGAAATGCAGTAAACATGAAAAGGAGAGGAAGGCGCCTCTAAGTGCAGTATTGACAATTTATTGGTGAACAATAGATAAATTTCACTTACAAGATAAATAGTTAAAATGGATGTTTGCTGCTGGATGTCTCACCTGGATCTTATTACCACACGAATGAGTCTTGTTATTTATTCACCAATAATAAATAACAAGACTGCAGTTAGAGGTGCCTTCCTCTCTTTTTCGTTTTATTGCACTCACTGTGGGGGGTGGTTATTATTGTACTCACTGACACCAGTGAATGGAGATGGTATTGCACTCACTGACACCAGTGAATGGGGGTAGTTATTACTGCACTCACTGACACCAGTGAATGGGGGTGGTTATTATTGTACTCACTGACACCAGTGAATGGAGATGGTATTGCACTCACTGACACCAGTGAATGGGGTTTATTACTGCACTCACTGACACCAGTGAATGGGGGTGTGGTTATTACTGCACTCACTGACACCAGTGAATGGAGGTGGTTATTATTGCACTCACTGACACCAGTGAATGGGGGTGGTTATTATTGCACTCACTGACACCAGTGAATGGGGGTGGTTATTGCACTCCAACATTTTCAGTGTGCATTGCTATACACTGCAAAAATGCGGCAGCATTTGTAAACACTCTCAAATGTCATGATTCAGAGTTACAAAGTAGCTGCAGATCAACAGGATGAGCTTCAGATTCACACGTCGGATAAAGCAACCTTACAAGTTTTTATTTTTTAAATGTTCATTTTTGTTTTTGAAATGTAATCCTTAATTAACCTAACCATTCCTAACTAACTTCTCCCCTTAGGCTATTTTTTTCTGCTTTTTTTTTTTTTTTTTACTTTTTTTTTTTTTATAATCATTAATAATTTAACTTTTTCTTTGTTTTTGTTTTTTATTTAAAAAAAAGAAAACAAAACCAAAAACCTGTCTATAGGTTGCATAGAAAATAAATAAAACATTTTTGTGAGACGGTATCCCGAAAAGAGTCTTGTATGTCCTGAAAAAAATGTCTTGCTATGTAATCTACTGAGACCCTGTCATGTGACCTTTTATTTGCAACAATGACCATTTGCAATGATTTCAAAATTATGTTGTGTTTTTTAAAGCTAAAATGTAACCTAAAAATCTAATTTGTGGCAAAATAATGGTAAAAAAAAAAGTTTTTTTTTAGTTCCAAATGCCTCCTGCTTTATTTCCATTTATAAGGAGAGCACAAAGTGCAGCTTTATGGCTTCACAGTAATTGTTCTGTGGGAGCACCATACTTCAGTAGTTCTCAGTTACTATCTTTGGAAAGCAACTTGACACCAGAGAACTAGTTTCGTTTCAGTGTCTGTTGGTCGTATAGTGATGAAATCTTTGTGACACTGCTCTGCATCTTTTCCTTTTCTAGTCCTGAAAGTTTTGTCCTATTCAGCAATCGAGCTCTGTGCTATATTCGGATGCAGAAATACGGGTACGTTCAAATGAAACCATTTTATATGATCTTGGTAACATCTGGTGGTAATTGTGTGGTTGTTTTTGTCTTAATTCACACTGCTTTTGATTCCTTTTTTTTTTTTATATATGTGTGGGTTTCTCTAAAGTGGCCCTGTCATTAGATCATTAAAAATGAAGACACCTTTCTGCAGCTCTGTCCCTGCCTATCTGTGAAGTGAAGTGTGAACAAGTCCTCTTCTGGCTTGGTAGTCTCTGATGATGAGCGCCTTTAGAGAGGAACGTCACTGTCACAAAGTATAGCAGAAAGCCACTGTGGTGGTGTAGTGCAGTGCAAGTGGAAACCGGATTCTCAGCACCAGATGAGGCAGTAGCATAGTAAATACCAACTTACAATTGCTTCTCCATACGCAGAAGGTTTTAGTCAGATATTTGTGTGATCGATGTTTGAAACCTCGACTGCTGATTGGCTTTTACTTGTGTAAAACATACAATATTTTTATAAATCTATGTTTGCACAGTCTCAAGGCACCCCATTAAAAAATATATAGCAAAAAAATGAAACTAATAGTTCTACATATTGCAGCAGTATCCACACACATAGGATACTCCACATTAGAGATGATTTATTTTTACAAAGCAAACACCCCTTTGCCTGTGGTACTAATATTCAGCTTTTCTCCAATTAACCACTTCCTGTCCGGACACTTTTACCCCCTTCCTGTCCAGGGCAATTTTCAGCTTTCAGCGCTATCACACCTTGAATGACAATTGCGTGGTCATGCAACACTGTACCCATATGAATTTTTAACCATTTTTTTGGGACAGATGAAGCTTTATTTTGGTGGTATTTATTCACCGCTGAGATTTTTATTTTTTTTACTATGTAAATGAAAAAGTCCAAACATTTTGAAAAAAAGTGTGTTTTTTAATAAAATTTTGCATATAAATAATATTTCATCATAAATCTTGGCCAAAATTTATTTCGTTATTTTTTTAGTAAAAAAAAAAATCCAAATTAGTTTATAACCAAAAATTATAATTTTTAAACTTTTTTTTTTACATTTTTATTTTATTTTTTTTATATTATTATTTTTTATTTTTATTTTTTTTTACATACTGTCACCCTAGCAGTACACCATGGTGACACTGTACTACTTGTGGGGGGTGATGAAGATTTTTTTTTTTACACTGATTGCTTTTACACCCATATAGGGTGTAAAAGCAATCATTTCTCTTTCTCTCTGTCTGCATTCTTGCAGTCATTGAGAAATACTGAGTGAGCTGTGATTGGTCACAGCTTGTCACATGGTACAAGGCTGTTGTGAATAGCCTTGTACCATGTAACCTCTGTGATCATTCACAGATTTCACACGTAGTAAGCAATGATGTCACAAGTGACATCTTGCTTACTACTTTCCATGTGATCACTGATTCGCCAATCAGTGATCACATGATCGGGACCTCGTACAGAAGTGCCACAAGCACTGTTTACAGGCTCAAACGCAGAATGGGAGCAGCGAAAAGTGATTGTATATCCCCTTCCAACCAATTGATTGTGTTTATTCATTTTCCAGCCTACAGTGGTGAAATGTTAGCTGGAATCTGATTATTATCGATAATGATCTCTTGTCTTTCACAAATGGGCCGCGGAATTTTTTTCGTTTTAAAGTTGCATAAATGGCTTCTCTTTAAAAAGCAGCTAGGCATACAGATGTTAAAGGGAAATATAATAATAATAAAAAAATAATTTTCAGTCTCATCTTTGTTTCAGGAAGGCTTTGTCAGATGGAAAGAAAGCAATTATACTTAAAAACACCTGGCCAAAGGTATGTGTAATTGTTCAGCTTGTTGACTAATACTTGTGTAAAGACTTAATTGATTTGCTGCCTATGAATAGAATCCTATAGATTTTTGTTTGATGCTTAATTGTTTTTTTTAAGTCTTCCCTAGTACTGCTTTCTGTTGATACTATTATGAAAACACTTTTTTTGTAATGCAGCTAATAATTCGTTTTTACAGTAGAACAATGGCCTTCTATTAAAAAAATATAAATGTGTGACAGAACTTAAGAGCTTTTTTTTTTTTTTATTTATTAAACATGCTGGAATAGTCTACCTAATGCAGCTTACGGTGATTGGGTGGTAACAGTGCCTTACAGCTTCTGAATACAGAGCAAAGTTGCCACTTTCATGTAGGCCGTGCCTGTTTGTGCTACAAAAAAAAAACAAAAAAAAAAAAAACTCCCAAGGCGGTGTGACTATCAGTATTGTCAATGCTGATTCACAGCCTGTAGCTTGTTAATCAGCAATTGGCCTGCCAACTGCTTTCTGGATTTTAGCACTGCCTCTGTTGCTGAAATCCTCTGATTGTGAGCTGCAGTGTCTGCAAGGGGGGAACAAGTGAGACACAAATGTAGGATGATTGGGATCAGTCAGGAAAGGTGAAGGAAATTTTTGTTTACTTTTGAGGTTTGTGTATAACATAGTAATTGGATTTGGTAAAAACTGTAATACAGGAACCTTTAGTTGTAATTTTAATTTAATACACTTGTCAATAAATGTACAGTAGCTCTCTGTTGCTAAAAGATAGCTTTGTACATGATGCAGGTAAATGCATTAGTGCTGCAGTGGCTTCCTTGGACATGAGAGTGTGTGTGTGTGTGTGTGTGTATATGTGTATGCGTGTGTGTGTAATATATACACACACCCTATTTTTTGCTCCATAAGACGCACCTAGATTTTAGAGGAGGAAAACAAGAAAAAAAATATTCTGAACCAATGGGCTGCGGACACAGTACATGGAGACTGCGGACACAGTACAGGAGATGACCAGGGACTGCGGACACAATACAGGAGATGACCAGGGACTGCGGACACAATACAGGAGATGACCAGGGACTGCGGACACAGTACAGGAGGTGACCAGAGACTGCGGACACAGTACAGGAGGTGACCAGAGACTGCGGACACAGTACAGGAGGTGACCAGAGACTGCGGACACAGTACAGGAGGTGACCAGAGACTGTGGACACAGTACAGGAGGTGACCAGAGACTGCGGGCACAGTACAGGAGGTGACCAGAGACTGCGGGCACAGTACAGGAGATGACCAGAGACTGCGGGCACAGTACAGGAGGTGACCAGAGACTGCGGGGCACAGTACAGGAGGTGACCGAGACTGCGGGGCACAGTACAGGAGGTGACCAGCGACTGCGGGGCACAGTACAGGAGGTGACCAGCGACTGCGGGGCACAGTACAAGAGGTGACCAGTGACTGCGGGGCACAGTACAGGAGGTGACCAGTGACTGCGGGGCACAGTACAGGAGGTGACCAGAGACTGCGGACACAGTACAGGAGGTGACTAGAGACTGCAGACCTTTGGGGAGAGCGGGTACCTGCTCCCACTTCCGCAGAGTTGTCCTCCCTCCCTGTAGTCTTGTGGGACACATGTCCGGTCCCAGAAGACTACAGGGCCATTCACAAAGTGCAGCGCTTTTCGCGCAGTGGGCACCCGGCTGTGAAGTCGCAAGCTTTCACAGCGGGTGCCCAGACTGAAGATGCCGGCTCGAACGAAAGAAGACGGCCGTTTGAAAGCAGGACACTGCTGGACCGACGAGCGGGTTCTTCTGCACAGTAGAGCAGAGTGGTCGGTCTGGTATTCTACCACAGCAACGGCGAGAATACCGGGCCAGCCGCTCCATAAGACACACAGACATTTTCCCCCATTTTTTTGGGGGGAAAAAGTGCGTCTTATGGAGTGAAAAATACGGTATATAACACACACACACACCCACACACACACACACACACAAAACACATCAGATCTCAATGGGGAAAAATATCATGCTGCACATATGGACTGGGCAATGTGTTAGGAACATAAGGATACCACATCGTTTGATGGAAATGAAAATTATCAACCTACAGAGGACTGAATTCAATGACACCCCGAAAATCAAAGTGAGCAATTTATGCAGCAGGCTAATCCATTTTGCTGAACTTTCATTGCAGCAACTCAGAATGGTCCTCCAGTAGTTTGTATAGCCCCCACGTGCTTGTATGAATGCCTGACTATGTCAGGGCATGCTCCTAATGAGACGATGGAGGGTGTCCTGGGGTATTTCATCCCAGATCTGGACCCCAGGGCATCACTGAGGTGCAACCTGGCGTCCTCAGATGGACCGAAACATGATATCCCAGAGCTGTTCTATTGGATTTGGGTCAAGCGAGCATGGTGGCCATTCAGTGGTATCAATTCTTTCATCCTCCAGGAACTGCCTGCATATTCTCGCCACATAAAGCCGGGCATTGTCGTGCACCAGGAGGAACCCAGGAGGGTGGGGTAGGGTCTGACAATTGGTCCAAAGATTTCATCTCGATACCTAATGGCAGTCAGGGTGCCATTGTCTAGCCTGTAGAGGTCTGTGCGTCCCTCCATGGATATGCCTCCCCAGACTATCACTGACCCACCACCAAAACGGTCATGCTGAACGATGTTACAGGCAGCATAACGGTCTCCACGGCTTCTCCAGACCCTTTTCACGTCTGTCACATGTGCTCAGGGTGAATCTGCTCTCATCTGTGAAAAGCACAGGGTGCCAGTGGCGGACCTGCCAATTCTGGTGTTCAATGGCAAATGCCAATCAAGCTCTATGGTGCCAGGCAGTGAGTACAGGGCCCACTAGAAGACCTCAGGCCACCCTCATGAAGACTGTTTCTGGAGGTCATTTTGTAGGGCTCTGGCAGTGCTCATCCTGTTCCTCCTTGCACAAAGGAGCAGATACCGGTCCTGCTGATGGGTTAAGGACCTTCTACGGCCCTGTCCAGCTCTCCTAGAGTAACTGCCTGTCTCCTGGAATCTCCTCCAAGCTCTTGAGACTGTGCTGGAGACACAGCAAACCTTCTGGCAATGGCATGTATTGATGTGCCATCCTGGAGGAGTTGGACTGCCTGTGCAACCTCTGTAGGGTCCAGGTATCGCCTCATGCTACTAGAGTGACACTGACCCTAGCCAAATGCAAAACTAGTGAAAAACAGAAAAGATGAGTAGGGAAAAAGATGTAAGTGGCCCAACCTGTAAAACCATTCCTGTTTTGGGGGTCATCTCATTGTTGCCCATCTAGTGCACCTGTTGTTAATTTCATTAACACCAAAGCAGCTGAAACTGATTAACAACCCTGTCTTAACTGACCAGATCAATTTCCCTGGAGTTTCATTGACTTGATATTTTACTCTGATTAAAAAGTGTTCCTTTCATTTTTTTGAGGTGTGTGTGTGGTGTGTGTGTTTGCTTGTCACTATAACAGGAGATGAGCTGAAATCTTCCAATAGGGACAGCTGTTCTTGTGACAACTGTCAGAGGATTGTGTGAGCAGGACTGTAACTGAAGGGATATTACTCCAACAAGACGCACAAAAAAAAACCTTGATGGTGATTTTACCTCTTCCTATCTATTCAAAACAGTGTTTGGCTTTAAATGCATTTGAGTATGAAATGTTTGCAGCTGTCCCATCTGATTTTCCAAGAAATGCTGGCCCTGGAGAATAGAATGTTTTGTTCCTGCCTTGTCACAAAGCAAATGCTTTTTGTTTTTTCTTTTTTTTTTATGTCCAATTATAGCTTTGTTTTTTTATTCTTTTAAGTCAGGTTACATAAACTGTAAAATATTTGGATTTTTACCTTTTTAATAGTGCTTCATTCCATTTCCCATCCTTGCTTCCTGTCCTCAGCAGAACAATCACAGCTGCCATTCTCTTATAAACAAATCTGTCACTCAGCTTGCCTCACCCACCCCTACCTTTAAGGATGAGTTCACTTTGAATGGGCTTTCAATAGGGTTCTGTTGGGTTGTCTCCCAAGATAAGAGGTGATCATGACAAGGCCCCATAGAACTCTTTGAAGCTACTGCATAAGCGTGGCCGATGCACTAAGGATCGGCTTGCCATGATGTAAGCAAACCGTAATTGCTGCGGGCACAGTTGCAGGCAAGTATACATCTGGGGGGGTAGAGAGAGGTGGGCTAGGTTAGTTGTTCCCTTTTGGCGTAGAGATCTTATAAGTACCTGGTGGGAGAGTCACTAAAGTTGGCCATATTTGTTTTATTCACTATGTTGAACAAGATTCCTTTTTTGTAGAAGCCTACAGAATGCCATTTGTGGTCAAATAGTTTATCGGGCATAGCAGCCCTGAACAGCAGGGAGTCAGAACCTTTCTAAGACAAGGCCATAGATTATGCAATTTTCTTTTCTTCCACTGCAGGTGGAAGGAAAGAAAATTCTTTGATTCCCCCATCAACACAGTAAGTGTCAATGGGGTAATCCTTGCTGCAGCGCTATTGTGTTCTTTCGGTGGGGATCCTTCCCTGCTGGCAGAAAACTGTGATGAGTGTTGCGGGCTATAGCTGGACAGCTCTAATCGTATGTGATTGTACAACCAGGGTGCCCATAGATGGATAGAAATCCAGCCAGTCCCTGCTGTATTCACTGAATTTCGATCCATGTATGGCTGGCTTAACCATTCATATTTGTGCATGAAGGCTTTGATAAGATAACGTACCTGTTCTTAAAGCTACAAATTTTATTTCAAAAATGTAAAAAAAACAAAACCTCAGCGCTCAGGACTTCCTATTTACCATACAAAACCCCGTGAGATGCAGCTGTGCACAGGTACAAAGGACCAAAAACTTTTAACAATGAAAACCAGCGCAAACCCACATAATCAATTACATTACTCAGTGTAAAAAAACATAAATGTGCTAATAAAATTATATATAATAAATTATATATAAATTATGTTGATACAAAAATATATATATAAAATTATGAGTCCAGTGAAAACACAAAGTGACAAAAAATCAGAAAAATCCCAGAAAATATATATATATATATATATAATTAAAGTCCCGTGACAAAATTAATCAAATTAATTTATAATATATTTTCCATTTGATTCTTCCGTGTTACGGATCCCTTCACCATCCACCAGTGCAGAAATCAACATTAACCGCACTCACCAGATAATGGTGAGTCACACGCCTTTCAGGATTGTTAAGGGCTCCTGGACCCCCTTTACTTTCTCTGAGACCTCCAAGTGCTGTTTCCTCTCATATCTAGGTACCTCTTCTGCTTACTCCTCTCACCGAATCCCCCAAAGGAAAATCAGGAAGAAGAAAAGACCATAGCGTGATACCGCAGTAACTTCTCCTTAAATTAATCTCTCCAGACCACTCACATTCTTTTGCGGGATATAGCCCGCTTTTTATTCAAAACAACAGCGATTCTCTTCAAAATTGATCCACTTTTCATGTACACCGATTATATAAGGATTATATAAGGACCCCACAGTTTAGTGTGCAGCAGGATGGCAGACCTCAGCTACAGACTCTTCTCCTTAGACTAAGATGGCCCCTTGGAACGCACCGCTCGGCGTGCGCTCCACTCACCGGAAATGACGTCAGACGACGGACCAGGCAACCGGAAGTGCGTCAACGCGTTTCGCCCCACCCACAGGGCGTTATCAAGACTTCTTGATAACGCCCTGTGGGTGGGGCGAAACGCGTTGACGCACTTCCGGTTGCCTGGTCCGTCGTCTGACGTCATTTCCGGTGAGTGGAGCGCACGCCGAGCGGTGCGTTCCAAGGGGCCATCTTAGTCTAAGGAGAAGAGTCTGTAGCTGAGGTCTGCCATCCTGCTGCACACTAAACTGTGGGGTCCTTATATAATCCTTATATAATCGGTGTACATGAAAAGTGGATCAATTTTGAAGAGAATCGCTGTTGTTTTGAATAAAAAGCGGGCTATATCCCGCAAAAGAATGTGAGTGGTCTGGAGAGATTAATTTAAGGAGAAGTTACTGCGGTATCACGCTATGGTCTTTTCTTCTTCCTGATTTTCCTTTGGGGGATTCGGTGAGAGGAGTAAGCAGAAGAGGTACCTAGATATGAGAGGAAACAGCACTTGGAGGTCTCAGAGAAAGTAAAGGGGGTCCAGGAGCCCTTAACAATCCTGAAAGGCGTGTGACTCACCATTATCTGGTGAGTGCGGTTAATGTTGATTTCTGCACTGGTGGATGGTGAAGGGATCCGTAACACGGAAGAATCAAATGGAAAATATATTATAAATTAATTTGATTAATTTTGTCACGGGACTTTAATTATATATATATATATATATTTTCTGGGATTTTTCTGATTTTTTGTCACTTTGTGTTTTCACTGGACTCATAATTTTATATATATATTTTTGTATCAACATAATTTATATATAATTTATTATATATAATTTTATTAGCACATTTATGTTTTTTTACACTGAGTAATGTAATTGATTAAATTTTATTTCAGTACTTTTTTATTTTTGAGTTGCTAAAGTTGTTTTCTATTTATTTTTTTAAACCAGGGTCATTACCGGTTTTGTGAAGCCCTGTTTGCTCTTGGAGAAATGGAGCGGGCAATTGCATCCAATGAGAAAGCACAGGAATTGTGCCGAGACTCCCAGGAGGGTATCAAAGACTTGATCCAACAGCATAGCAGATTTAGAAAGCCGATGAAAGGAGCTTCAGGTAGAGGACTTGAAGTATATTCACTCTTGTTGTGTATTTATTTGGCATTCTTCACTAAATGGCGGCCCACAGTCCAGACCCAGACCTAGTAGTACTCCTGTTCAGACTATCAGCCCACCAGTTTGCAGCATCAGATCCTCACCGAGCGGCAGTCTTTGGTTGCTAGGGCCGCCAGTGTTTTGCAACCTATGATCTCACGTGTGTGCCCTACCCACTGCAGCACGCTTCTTCTCGCAGGTCCAGTCCCCTGCCTGCCCAGCTACAAGGACATATCAAAACATTGGCGGCCCTAGCAACCAATGATCTCACGTGTGCGCCCCACCCGCTGAAGCACGCTTCTTCTCCCAGGTCCAGCCCCCTGCCTGCCCAGCTGCAGGGACATGTCAGTCAGGTAGACCAGCCATTCTGATGGGCTCTCCCAATCTCTAGGTGTACTCTGATTGGGGGCAACTGATCTTAGGGGATATACTGATGGGGACAACGGATATGAGAGTACGCGGTTTTGGATTTCTGATTTATGGGGTTGCGCTGATGGGGGCACCTAAATGTAATATGAGGGGCACAAACATGAGATTCAGACCTCAGCTGGAAGAACATTTTAGCTTCCAAACCTCCTTGAATTTTAATTTGATTAATACCCTTGGTATAGGGGATCTCCAGGTTGTAATATTACACTTTTATAATCTGTATCTTGTAAAAGGGCCAGTCCACCCAAAAGTCTACATCTTTTCTATGTGCAGTAGCAGGAGTTCCCTGTTATGCTTTTTACTCTATTCCTGTCTGCCTGGAAGTTTTAGGTGTTCAATGGCCCCCTTTTTATAATTAAGCTCCTCCTGTTACATTCTGCATTAGAAAAAAAAAAAAAAAAAAAATCTGCCTGCCTGGCAGGGTGGGACCCCCATTATAATTCCAACTGCAAGGAGTATAGACACAGGAGCCCTGAGAAACTGGCGAGTGTCAAATACTGGCACTATGTGCTACTTCATCTATACTGTCAGGGGTAGATTGCAACATTTACAAATCTGTCAGGAAATGAATTCAAATTGACGTTTTGACATTGTCTTGCACTTATCATTTTTAAATCCTTTTGTACCTTATTAATTGAGTACTGTGAACATTTATGAAGATTCTTCCTTCTAGGAATCCCTGTGCTGAAATCTAGAAAGAAATCAACCTCTGACAAAAAGTAAGTAATTCTTGTTTTGCCGGTATCGTAGCTTTGTTGCAATTGTTTCTACAAGGGATTCCCTTCTTATCCTTCCATGTGACAATGCGGGTGCTTGGCAATTGGCTTTTCAGGCCCTCAGTTATGCCAAATGAGGATAAGGAGAGTCCTCACCATTGTGTTGGCTCCAGGTGGCAATTTAGACCGTTCCTAAGCTGCCGCCTTCTTTATTCCTGCAGGAGACAGCAGCGGCCGGAAGTGACAATATTTACAATGGTGTATGAGAGTTGTAACCCTTTTGTGCCCCTTTCATGTCCAGGCCCAAAATAAACGCATGTGTGTTGTATCAGGCAGAGTGTTAAACAGACGCGCTCTCATCTATGGACTGGCATAGTGATCATATGATGGGAACCACTCTGATTGGGATCTTAGAAATTACATTTGTTAATATTTTCTTGGCATGTGGCATCATGCTAAGGAACGTTTACATACAGATTTTGGGTAGGACAGTTTTTATGAACCTTTTGATTTGCCTTGCATAGGAAAATTACAGGTTTATTTTAAAGTCTTTGTTGTCAAGAAAAAAAAGGTTTGGCTTACATGAGTGGGCACTGGAGCCACTGACTTACTATATAGTTTGACCACTAGCAGTTAGATACACTTGCCTAGGTTGCAGCCACCCCACCCCCTTACACTCACTCCAGCAGCTTCATCTTCTGTCAAATATAGTAAATGAAAATGTATTCTATTAGTTGGTACATTGAGGGAATTGTGACTTGGATGTTAAAGTATATATTTGTTGGATTTTTAGACACATATAATACTTCTTCTAGTGTCTTGAGGCGATTATGAATGAAAGAGCCATTGAAATAAAAATGAAGTGTGATTTTATTCTATCACACAATGGAGTAAAATAACAATGTAAAGCGTATTATGAACAGTTCCATGTAGATAAAACTATTGTAAAAATGACAAGCGAAGGTTTAAAACAAAGTCACCATTATCTGTCATGGCTGTCCTTGCCATGTGCGATTCTCATGTCCTTCTCCAACTCAGAGTCCGAGAGAGAAAGAGCCGGACGTGACGTTAATGATGATCTCGTCTTGCAGCACCTGTTCCAGCATCTCATCCGTGTGTGTACGTGTATGTCAAAGTGTCAATATTAGTGTGTGAGCGTGAGTGTGTGTCCGTCGTCTCATGGACTTTTAAGAGGCAAATGTACGTCATAGTTAGTGATCTCAATACCTTCTATGGAAAGTATTACTGCTTAGCAAAGCCATTTCATATAAGGTAAAGATGCTAAACATATGATGTTCGATGGACAGGAACATATGTATGCTGATGTACCAATGATGTAACCCTTAGCTATATATTTAAAAGATAGTATAGCTTAAGAACATATCAATGTATAATCACTAAACTATATATGTATTAATGTTAGAAATGTATTCTAAATATACACAGAAAATACGTAATGTAATAGTAAGTCACTTCTAATAACCTTGACATAACTACCAAATACTTTTATGCCTAAATATCTCTAAATATAGTCTACTCAACTTTCAACTGGTATATACTATTTCAGCTTAACTTGTATATCTTTTGGTCTCAGCTATAATTGAAGAATAGTAAATACTACCATTTGTCAAAGACCACTTACACATATTAATATTAATTATGACTAATCATAAAAACCAAATATATTTTGCAAGCTTGCCATCAATATAAATGCCGAATCATAATTTAGATTTAACAATATTTTTGTTGCTGAAATGTAAAAGGAATTTTTACTGAAAAAAAAAACACACAAAAACTTAGTGGTTCTAAAGGCCGGAGGTTTTTTACCTTTCTGCAGTAAGGTAAAAAACCACCTGGATGCAGCTACAATCCCCCCCTTAGCACCCCCCGCCCCCCCTTATACTTACCTGAGCTTTATCTCGATCCAGCGATGTGCATGAGAGCAGTGGCTCTCCTGGTACTCTCTCTCCTCATTGGCTCACACAGCAACATAATCCATTGGCTCTTGCTGCTGTCAATCACAGCCAGTGAGGAGAAAATCTGTGGCAGTTTCAGGCCACGCTGTGTGTGTGAATAGGCGACATCCATTCACAGGATCGTGGTTTGGAAGCAAGTCTGCTTGAGTGCCCCCATAGCAAGAAATAACTAATCAATTTGTTCTCCAGGACTGCCCTAGTAAGAATAAATTAAATGCAGAAATTCCTAGGGCTACATCACTAGCTCACACCTCAAACTCTTAGGTTCCATTCATACAAGGGCGTTTCAAATCACGGGCGGAATCACCGTGATACTGCCCACAATTTAAAAACACGCAATTGCATGTTCAGGTGGTATTCATTTCAATGGCACCTAAAAACGCAGGGCGTTTTTACTGTGATCGCTGCACTTTTTTTTCCATGTGGCAAATTTGCCACGATTGTACAAACAAAATCATGTTAGGCGTGAAGCCCAAAAAAGGTTCTGGAACCTTTTTTTCATATGATTGTGACTCAAAAAAGAAAATGCATCAAAACGCAACACGTGTGCATCTTTAATAGGTTTTCAATGCATTCTAGGTCTGATTCACACCAAAGCAGTTTGCGTTTTTTTTTTTTCAGTTTTGCAGTGCTTTTTGCATGTGTGTTTTGACACTTTTTTTAATGTTTTTTGGGGGTGTTTGCCATCTTGGTGCTGGGCAGACTAAAAACACCAAAAATGCAACACGTGTGCTTTTTTGATGCATTTTCAATGCATTCCAGGCCTGGATCACACCAATGCAGTTTGTGTTTTGTCCATTTTGCAATGCTTTTTGCAGTGCGTTTTGCGTTTTTTGCATGTGCGTTTTCAATGCATTTTTTATGCTTTTTTTTATTTTTTTATTTTTTTTGGCCAGCTTGTTGCTGGGCAGATTAAAAACGCAAAATGCATCAAAAACGCAACACGTGTGCTTTTGTTATGCATTTCTAAAGCATTTTCAATGCATTTCATGCCTGGTTCACACCAATGCAGTTTGCATTTTGTCTGTTTTGCAGTGCATTTTTGCACATATGCGTTTTTGACGCTTTTTTGATGCATTTTGCACTTTTTGGCCAACTTGTCGCCGGGCAGATTAAAATTGTGAAAACACGCCAAAAAAACACACTAAATGCGTTTTCTTCAGTGTTATTGAAGTCTGTTGAACAAAAAAAAAAAAGTCCCCGACCCTTTTCAAACACGCAGCAGCACAAAAAAGCATAGATGTGTGTCCCATGTTTTTTTAAAAAAAACTATCAATGCATTCTGAATTTTTGGTTTCATTTTCTTCGGTGCACCACTAATCAATGTCCCTATGGACTTGTCATCCGGAGATTGAATGTAGCATACACTCTTCTAGCGATTGACAATTTAATTCTTGCATTTTAAACAAGCAACCTCTCAGATGAAGCATTGTGTATTGACTTGGCTCACCACCACTGTTTGGCGTTCATAGGTCTCTGTTAGCTCATGCGTGTAGCAGAGCAAACAGATGAAGCCAAGCAAGCAAGTCCCAGTTATACTGATTCATAGCCCATGCATAGAAGGGTTTTGCAAAGCAAGCACACACTAGCAAAAGCAAAACAAGAAGTATAAAATGGTCTCTAAAATATACTGATACCTGACACCCCCTGCCCATAAAACATTACAAACCATTTTTCAGTTGCTACATTTGCTGAAGTTAGCCAATATAATTTCCCTATATATTGGAAACAAACCACCCCCTCCAATAGACATTTTGGTTTTCTAATGTTAATGAAATGGCTGCTGCAAAATCATGGCTGCTGCAAACCATACAAAAGAACAGTCCTGCAAAACATGGTTTTAATAATTAGATTTTAGATGCTGAATAATGCTGACTTTTGAATTGTTCCTAGCTGTTTGGATTGACAGTCCCTTTTCATAAATTTTTTATACAGTGGGGCAAAACTTTCTAAATCAGCCAATGTGATTGTCTTTCTCATTTTGTCTCTCATAGTTGAGGTCTACCTATGATGCCAATTACAGGCCTCTCTCATCTTTTTAAATGGGAGAACTTGCACAATTGGTGGCTGACTAAATACTTTTTTGCCCCACTGTACATATAAATTTATATATTTTTGTAAAGTTCTGTTCCACGTTTCTAAGCGCACGCTATCCCTAGTTATGTGGTCCAACTTGCCCCTCTCCCCTCCTGCTGTGGCCCATCCAACAACAATTATGAAGTAGGTGACTGATTCATAGCTGCAGCTTATCTCCACTGTGAGCTATGGATGCACCGATTATGTGTGTGGTTTTTGTTTTTTTTTTTTTTTTTTTTTTTTTTTATATATATATATTTATTTAGTACGAGTCCTGTCCAAATTGCATGCAGTTTTCCCCACTGCTCCTGTGTGAACCCAGGCTTGTCATATCCCCAATTTCACACAGGAGCTTCACTGGCTGCAAGCTTGTTTTAGGTCAGCGACTCAATGGGTAGAAAAACCAGGATGTGGATTGCAAAACTGCAGCATGCAAGCATCCTTTAACTCATCAGCAGTGGAAGTCCCCTCATTCCCATCCCGCTATATTTCTGTCTTGACATTCACTTTTAATAACTTTATTTGTGGGTCATGTGCTAACAATGCTTCCACCTTTAGGGTAATGTTTTCTTTTACTTTGGAGCTAATTAAGCTGTTTTTCTTTAGAATTGACACACAGTCGGCTACAGATAAAGAAAGTAAGGGCCTTCAAACCACTGCAGTAGAGGAAACTCCACCAAAGGTATGAATATTTCTTACTGGACGTCTTACTTAAAGTGGTAGTAAACTCTTTTCTATTTTTACCTACAGATAAGCTTTGTGAGAGCGCTTACCAGTAGGTAAAATGAAACGTACACCGTTTAGGAGATCTTCTAGCAGCCGGTGATGTCAGTGGCACATGCGCTTTGAATGAAGGGCATACCCATGCCTTTCCTCCAGAGCTGTGTGCCACAGCTGAGACTCCCACATATGCGTCGCCGCAGCCTGGCCAGTCAATTGGCCGCAGCCCATGGACCCGGGAGGAAGGCCAGGTGAAGATAAAAGCCTCCTCAGAAGGGACAGTATGCCGCTGGAGGGCTTTGTTTAAAAGGAAGTCTTCATAATGTGCTTGTATGTGATGCATACTAGCACATTATAACATTGCCTTGTAGGGAGAGTTGTTTTTTGTTGTTTTTTTTTTCCCCTCATGTTTACTACCGCTTTAACATTTTATAATAACCATTGTAGTAAAAAAAAAAAAAAAAAAAAAAAGGCTCTTGTAATGATAGTGTTCACTGTGTGAATTCCTTTTTTATTTGACAAGCCTTTATTTACTTTTTTCTCCCCGTGGTGTTCTCTGCATTTTCAGGGGAGGTGGGGAACTTCAGCATTGTTTTAAAGTGCAGAATAAACAGCATTATCAATCTGTTGAAGGAAGTCGAACATTAACAGATCTGCAAACTCCTTTTTTTTTAATTTTTATAAATATTATTTTGCCCCTTAGTTGTTGTTGTTATACAGGATTTATAGAGTGCCAACAGTTTGTGAAGTGCTTTACAACGTGAGGGCAGACAGTACAGTTCCAGTACAATTCAGGATGAATCAGCCCAGCTCATTAGGGCTTACAATTGTTCTACTTTAATTTGGTTATCCTTGTGCAATGGATGATACTACATAAAGTTTTCATGTTAAACAGTTTGCGCTGTTTGTTTTGGCACCATTTATGGTCAGGTATTGCTACACCTAAATTATTAAGGAAATTTAACGTAGGGATGCACCAATACTGTTTTTTTTTTTTTTTTTTTTTTGTGTGGGGCGGTTTGTTATTGGCGAGTATGAGGGCCGATACTTTTGGTCAAGTACTTGCCGATACCGATTACCGATACTTTGCAGTGCTAATTGCATGTGGTTTCCCCACTGCTCCTGTGTGAACCCAGGCTTGTCATAGCACAGAGGAGCGGTGTGGGAAATCTGCCTGCAGAGTCTCCGTCTCAGGAGGGGAGAGAAAGCTGCATGAATTTGAAATCCCCGCCACTTTGTTTCCTCTCCTTGCAGCGATAACAGTTCAGGCTAGACAGCATCTGATAGGTCAGGATTAGAAGAACACCTGTCAGTTTTTGTTTCTGTCTGTGCCCCTGTTAAGGAGATTCACGCTTTCCATTTGTCCTGCTTACCATTTATCATTGAAAGTAAAAGAAAATGCTAAACTTTGGGTTGTCTCCAGAAAAGTAATCGAGAGGAAATATTCCAATGGGGACAGGTTCTGGAGACCTGGAGGTCCCCAAGGAATTCCCCTAATTTGCAGGGATTTTCCTTGGGCATGGGACAGGATGGGAAGGGAAAACTCCACAATGGGATACAGATGGAGGAAAAAAATCTGACAGGGGTTAAAACCCTCCCTTGCTCTGTCCAAAATGAAATTAAAACTTTTGCCTGTAGTTCTACTTTAAAGATCTATTAGTAAAATTGTAGTGGTTATTTGTAGCTGAGATCGAGTTACTCTTTTTAGAGGGCTACCACAGTTTGTTTCCTGTCCTCTAATCCACTAGGAGGACTTAATGATGGCAGGAAAAAAAACAGCTTAATGGCAATTGTTAAACATTAAATATAACCTTAGTTTTCCTTGTTCATATAGTTGAAGGATTCACTCAGAGGATAAATCAAGAGATTTCCTTTATTCAGCTCCTTTTTCTATTTGTCTGTGTGCTGAACACATCTGGTCTAATGTGTTTTTTCTACTTCAAGGTCATCAAGCCCACACTTCTGCTGTAAATATCAAAAATGTCAAGAAGGAATGCTGGCTCTTATCAGAGTTAGAGCATATCCCAAGACAAAATATAAGAAAAAAACATATCTATACAGTGCTCAAAAAAATTAAAGGAACACTTTGAAAACATATCAGATCTCAATGGGGGAAAATGTCATGCTGGATATCTATACTTTTTAAAGTACAATAAAACTGTTGCTCTTTATTGTGACACGATAATGCTATACTCCATCTTTGGCAAACAAAAAAAAAAGATTGATCCCATTCTGAAACAAAAAACAACGCTTTGTGAGTGCTTGTGCACAGGCTTCTGCAAGAGTATCCCTACAGCCCCAAGTCTGTACATTGTTACATGCTACTGTTATGGTCTGGAGGAGCTATGCAGTGGGCTACAAGTACAATAACCTCACTGCCCACATAGTCTATTCATATCTATGACTCCCTGTTGTGGCGACAGAGAGGACTTCATTCAAAAACCCTTGTGAGTGGATATGGGAATAGATAATGCGGTTGTGCATGTGGAGCTACATACAGCCTCTCCAATACAGGATGCTGCGGGGGGAAGAACCCCGTGATTCAGGCAAGGAAGAACAGTTTGTGGATTGGTCATTGGGAGAATATGACTTGGTTTCATGTTGCACCCTAACTATGGGTGTTGTGTGAAACATGGTCATAAACAGACTGTGTTTAAGAATGTGTACGTGCAAAGTTACTCATAGGTAACGCTATAAAATTACTGCGTATCAGTGCGAGACCTGCCAGTTTACAGTAAAGGCTCAATCGGACATGATTTTTCAATTTCTGTCAATGTTAAACCTCTGTAATAATCCAGGCAGTACTTGATGTGTTGGGGAGATATATATATGTAGGTCCATATATATTTGGACACAGACACAATTTGTTTTTTCAGGTATTTACCAAAACATATTCAAGCTATAGTTATTTAATGGATATGGACTGAAAGTGCACACTCTCAGGTGTAATTTGAGGGTATGTACATCCAAACTGGAGGAAGGGTTTAGGAATTGCAGCTCTTAAGAGTAGCCATTCCCCCTTTTTTCAAGGGACCAAAAGTAATTGGACAATTGAATCAAAAGCGATTTCATGGCCAGGTGTGGGCTACTCCTTTGTTATTTATTCATCAATTAAGCAGGTTAAAGGTCTGGAGTTGATTCTAAGTGTGGTATTTGCATTTGGAATCTATTGCTGTGAACCTACATCATACGTTCAAAGGTGCTGTCCATGCAAGTGAAACAGGCCATTGTAAGGCTTCAAAAAAGAAACAAATCCATCAGAGAGATAGCAGCAACATTAGGAGTGGCCACATCAACAGTTTTGTATATTCTGAGAAAAGAACGCACTGGTGAGCTCAGCAACATAAAAAGGCATGGATGTCCACGGAGGACAACAGTGGTGGATGATCGCAGGATCCTCTCTATTGTAAAGAGAAACCCATTCACAACTTCCAGACAGGTGAAGGACACTCTCCAGGAGGTGGGCGTATCATTGTCAAAGTCTACAATCAAGAAAAGACTTCAGAGGGCAAATACAGAGGGTTCACCACAAGGTGCAATCCATTCAAAAGACTGAAGACTAGAAAAGCCACTTTGCCAAAAAGACATCTAAAAAAGCCAGACCAGTTCTGGAAAAGAATTCTTTGGAAGGATGAAACTAAGATTAATCTATACCAGAATGATGGAAAGAAAAAAGTGTGGAGAAGGCTTGGAACCGCTCATGATCCAAAGCACACAACGTCCTCTGTAAAACATGGTGGAGGCAGTGTGATGGCATTGGCATGTATGGCTTCCAGTGGCACTGGGTCATTGGTGTTTATTGATGATGTGACAGAAGATAGAAGCAGCCGGATGAATTCAGCAGTGTTTAGAGATATACTGTTAGCCCAGATTCAGCCAAATACAGCAAAGTTGATTGGACGGCGCTTCACATTACAGATGGAAAATGATCCAAACACATTGCAAAAGCAACCCAGGAGCTTTTGAAGGAGGAGAAGTGGAATATTCTGCAATGGCTGAGTCAATCACCTGATCTCAACCCAATTGAGCATGCATTTCACTTGCTGAAGTCAAAACTAAATGCAGAAAGACCCACAAAAAAGAACTGAAGACAGCTGCAGTTGGAGCCTGGCAAAGCATCAGGATGAAACCCAGTCTTTGGTAATATCCATGGGTTCCAGACTTTAGGAAGTCATTCCCAGTAAAGGATTATCAACAAAATATTAAAAATGAACGTTTTATTTATTTTTATATATTTCTTTTATTATTTTTTTCTAATACAAAAAGAGCATCTAATGCACACAGAAATAAAAAAGAACTTCACCAATACATAAATTCCATTTGCATCGTTCTATCCCCTGCCCCACCCTTCCTCCCCGAGTCCATACCGAAATCTTCGTGTCTATCCTTTCTCGTGATTATCTATATATGTATCCCTTCCCTCCTATCTCCTTTCTGTCGGGTACTCCATTAAAACTTCCTCTGATACTCTTCCACCTATATTCCCACCAGTTCCAAATATCTTTTAAATGTTTTGAAAATTAGCCAGCTGCTCCACATTTTCCTATATTTTTCTATTTTCTCCTCCTCGTGTGAATTTGAATAATTTTTTTCTTTTGTTGCTCGTTCAATTTTGTTCCAATCTCCTGTTCCCATTTTTCCAAGAACTTAGGAGTATCAGTACCCTCCATATCCATAAGAATCTTATAAATCTCTGAGGTGCCTTCTTAGGAACTATAGTTACATTCAACAGTTTTTCAAATGGATACAGATCCTGCAACGTCCTCAGTGGTTGTGGGAGCATTGAAACAAAATGACCTTATTGGCCATACTGCAACTTGTCTAATGTGAAAAATAATTTTTTTTTTTTTTTTTTTTTTTTTTTTTTCCTTTAAGTCAGAAAAAGTGTGCAATTTCCCCTTGTTCAGTATATCTTTCAAACGTGCATTCTGATCTTTATTCCATTTCCCAGAAATGTTATCC